AGAGAAGTCTGCCCACTTTCTCCACTTCTTTTCAACATAGTGCTGGAAGTCCTAGCCAATCCAAACAGACAATAGAGCAAAATAAAAGGAATCCAAGAAGGAAAAAAAAAAAGTTAAACTATCCATATTTGCAGATCATATGATTAAATACATAGAAAATTCAAAATAATCCACCAAAAAAACCTCCTAGGAGTGAAAAATGAATTCGGTAAAGTAGCAAGAACAATATACAAAAATCTATAGCATTTTTATATACCAACAATGAACAGACCAAGACAGAATTGAATAAGCCAATTTCACTTACAATAGCCACAAAATGAGTAATATACCTAGGAGTAAACCTAATCAAACAGGCGAAAGACTTCTATAGGAAAACTGAAAATAGAAATCGAGTATAATACCTAAAAATATAAAGACATCCCATATTCTTGGATTGGAATTAAAAGTATAATACCTAAAAATATAAAGACATCCCATATAGTTGGATTGGAATTATCTATTTGATCAAAATGTCAGTTCTTCCCAAATTCATTTAAATATTCAATGCGATTCTGATGCAATTGCCTGTGACATTCTTCACAGAAATAGAAAAGGCAATCATAAAATTTGTCTGGACTCATCAAAGACCCCATATCACCAAGGCAGTACTGTACCAAAAGGATAAAATAAAAGGCATCTCACTACCCAACTTCAAAATATATTACAAAGTGGTGATAATTAAAACAGCATGGTATTAGCACAAAAATAGATACATAGACCAAAGTAACAGAATAGAGAATCCAGACCTAAAGTCCAAATCATGCATCCAAGTGATATTTGACAAAGGCTACAAGATAATGCAGTGGAGAAAAGAAAGTGGTTTTTTTTTGTTTTTTTTTTTTTTGTTTTGTTTTTTAGCAAATGGTGTTGGAAGAACTTGCTATTCATATGCAGAAAAATGAAACTGAACCCCTGTCACTCACCATTAACTAGAATCAACTTAAAATGCATCAAAGATTTGCATATAAAGCCTTAAACTATAAAAGTACCAGTGGACAATTTAGGGGAAACTCTTGAAGACATTAGAGTAAGAATAAGACTCCTAAAGCAGCAGCAAAAATCTCCAAAATAGACAAGTGAGATTACATCAAGCTAAAAGGCTTCCTTACAGCAAAGGAAACAGTAAGTAGAGTAAAAAGAAAACCCATAGAATGGAAGAAGATATGTGCACATTATTCCTCAGACAAGGGATTGATATCCAGAATATGTAAGGAACTCATGTAGATAACCCATTACAAAAAAAGAATAATCCAATGAAAAAAATGCAAATGAATTGAAGAGACAACTCTCCAAAGAAGACTTACAAATGGCTAAAAGGTATATGAAAAAAATGCTCAAAGTCTCTTGTCATAAAGGAAATGCAATTAAACCACAATAAGATACCAGTCAACCCCAGTTAGAATGACTAGGATCAAAAGAAATAAAGAATGACAAGTGCTGGTGAGACTGTGGTGAAAAGGGTACTCTCTTATGCTGTTGGTGATAATGTAAATTAGTACAACCTTTATAGCAAACAATATGGAGGTTCCTCAAAAACCTAGAAATATAACTACAATATGTCCCACAATTCTGTCTTTGGTATTTATCCAAAAGATAGGAAAACACTCCATTGGAAACACACTTTTACATCCATGTTTATTGCAGCATTATTCACAATTACTAAAACATGGAACCAACTTAATGTTCAAAAGCTATTGAAAAATGGTGGCATATGTATACTATGGAATATTACTCAGTTATAAAAAACAATGAGATTTCGCTGTTTGATTCAAATTGGATGAGTATAGAAGACTTAATGTTGAGCGAAGTGAGCCAGAATTTGAAAGATACATACTATATATCCCCATTCAATGTGTACTAAATATCTTAACTCTATGGTAGAAATGAAGAGATCTGAAGATATGATAGTAGAGAGGATAAATGTAGAGATCAGAGACTGTAAGAGAGGAGAGTTGACAGTAGAAAGTAGTAGGGGGTAGGTGTGAGGTGCAAAAGGAAGAAACACTTAACAGACAAAAGAGTAAAATTCTCTGTTAAAAAATTAATATATATATATTAGTTAATTAATATATTTTATATATATAGCATGTTTCATGATGGGGATATTATGTAAAATGTAATTAATCCAAGGTCAGCAGGTAGTGTGGTTGTTAAGGTGCTGGACTCTCACATGGCCAAGCATAGTTTGAGTCCTGGACCTGACAGCTTGCTTTCTCACTTTCTCTTTCTCTCTGGTGAGTGCTCGTGTTGTATAGCAAACATTTTTAAGAAGTAATAATCATAATTAATAAAAATTAAATATTTTTAAAATAAAAAAAGGATTACTCTAAAAATTTAAAAATAATTTTTAAATGAAAATAATTTTTTAAATTGCTAACAAAAGACACAAGAAATAGCTACTTTAGTTGTAAGATACTGCCATCATATACACAAATAGGTCTACATTAACTAAGAAAAAAAAAAAAAGAAAGTTTGTTATTTTGCATTCTTTATGAGCCCTTCTTTATGTTTTTCCACATTATTTGCATCCATGAGAATAACATGGTACACAGTACTGAGAAGAAGATGAAATAAAAAGCATCTCCCTGAGGCTTCTAGAATTGCTCTGGAAGAATGACTCTTAGTCATTCCACAGGTAGCATATTAAGGACTATTTGGGGATCTGTCTGAAAATATAATGCCATTTGATAGTCATAAAAGCTGATGATGTACCAAGCCTGGAACACTTTTAAAACATCATGGCACAGTCATAGTGGCACAGAGGTAGTGCTAGCACTTGGGTGTCTGAAAGCTGCATAGGTGTCACAGGTTTTATTACTAGGTCAATCTGAACATGTCAGATGCAGTTGTACTTCTGTAATCCTCGTTAATTGGGATACTGGAGAAAAAGGCTTGGAATCTGAAGAAATACTTTCAAAAATATACTCTGTTTCTTTCCCTTTCTCTCAGTCTCTTTCTTTCTCTCTCCCCATATCTCTCTTATAAAAGAAAAAAATGAGACTGCTTTTCAGACAGTTATGTTTCTTTCATATAATATGTATAATATAATCTTTCAACTATCTTCAAAGCTGTCTCACTAGCCTAATTCATAGAGACTTAATAACCTCAAAAATTATTTGATGTTGGACTTTGAACATAGTTGGCTATGTAATAAAAACAAAATTTGGTTTCCTTACACTAATACTACAAAACTGCTTACTATAAACAACATTTTACATTAATAATATATTACATTTAGAACATATTATGTGATATATGTATGGTATATTTCCATTGCATGCTTAAAATATTCATGCAGAGGGAAAAAGCAGCAATAACATCAACAAAGGGTATATACCAAACCATTTATAATGTTATTCTAGGAAGAAGGATTATGGAGTATTTCTCCTCTTCATTTTTTTGTTCTGTATTTTGTGAGATTTGATAACAAACATGTATGATTAAAAAAAAAAAAGAAAGAAAGAAAGTATTCTACAATTGGCTCCCAGGAGTTTTAACAATGGAAAGGTTTGCGGGAACAGCAGATGGTGTAATGGTTACACTGCTAAACTCCCACATAGTAGACTGTGGTTTGAGTCCCAGACCAGGTGGCTTAAACTCATGCCTGGTGTGTGTGTGTGTGCATGCCCATGATCCTGAAAGGAGAATGGAAGAGAAGGGATTGCTGCATGGCTGTCTGCACCCCCCCCGGGGGGGGTGATTTCTTGTTCTTGCGCGCTCTCTCTCTCTCTCTTTCTCTCTCTCTCTCTCTCTCTCTCTCTCTCTCTCTCATCTCCCCAGTGAGTGCATGTGCCCTATAGCAAAAAATCTCTCTTGGAAAAAAAAAAAAAGAGCTTTAACAATTGCAAGGTTTGATGTCTATTGAATCTATAGATTAAAAGTCTAAGCTGTACTGTCTGATATGGTCTCCAGTAGTTATTTAAAATTAGTTTAAATTCATTAAAAGCAAATCAATTAATAAATTCAATTTTTATCAATACGCCTAGACATATTTCAAATTTCAGTAGCCACTTTCCATCATCACAGAAAGATCTACTCATTAGCCTGGGTAGAAAGTAAGTTATCAAATTATGCTCTGGACACCAAGAAAGGAATGTGGGCCAGCTTTCAAGTGGCGTGGAAATGGATGCACGTCCCTCACTGTATACAATGAAAGATTCCAGGCCCTGTTATAACCTTACTAATCTGTGGCCTAATAAGTACAAAGAGTCTCCCAAACCCCTTCAACTAGTTGGTAATAAAGCAAGAACTAACTTCTAATTCATAGCTCTTGCCTCCATATCTCTGCTACTGTCTGTTTCAGAAAACTAGTATTCCCAAGCAATACTGAATTCAATTCACATCAATATAATTTCATAGATATTTTTGAGAGCTTACAAGGTGATAGATATCATAATAGACCTTGAATATACAAAATAAAATAAGTTTCCCTATCCTCCATGGGGTTCAAAGTACAAAAGTAGAGGGTATGCTAGGTAGAGAGAGAGCACAAATCTGGGACAGCTCTATTCTTCTTGGGAAACCCAAAGATTCTTCACACAGATTGGTATGCTTGAATTGTATCTTGACATTTGTATATCCAATTCACAAATCAGCACTTCTCGATACCCTCAGTTTTTCCAAGACTCCAAAAAAAGGGAGGTCAAACTCCATTTATGAAATGATCCCTGACATGGTATTGTTGTACTTCGTGTGGAATAATTAGGTATGTCCAATGCTCTGAATTTGAACTAAATTTTCTATTTTTAGGCCTGGTTCTATACATGTAAAACAATTTTAAATCTTTAAATAAAATATAATTTTAAGGTTTAGTCATCCATTTCATTTTGGACTATATAAAAGCAAGAAAGAAATTTGAATTCAGTTATTTTATCAGCTAGGTGTTTTGAAAATGTTTAAACACAGGTTAAGAACCTGGAGCTCCTAGTTCTCAAATAAATCACATTCCTGTTTTTTAACAGATGCAATGCTCTTGGTGGCAGAGCGACTGGAAGGGCCATTCAACATTGAGTCGGTCATGGACCCCATAGATGTCAAGATTTCTGAAGCCATTATGAACATGCAAGAGAACAGCATGCAGGTGTCTGCAAAGGTATTTGCATCAGTAATCGATCTACCAATACATGTACATAATACAGGTGCAGTAACCTAAAAATGAAGTAACTGAATATGTCGGCAGGGATTATAAATTCTCATACGCTGTCAGTGAGCTTTTCCTATTGAGCCACAAATTTGCTACTTCATTAAAAATGTCTAACAAAATGGCATTGAGAAGGGAAGTAATTTTTTAGTTCACAACTACTCAATCATAAAGAAATTATTACCTGCCAAAAAGTTTCAGAGAGCCCCATTTATGTTGACTAATCCTTCACATTTGTGAGCAATTTGGGGGAAATTTTCTTTTTTAATGTTTGAAATTTCTGCACACTCTCCCCCTGTTCTCTCTTTAGTAACTTCCAATTATATCTTCAGCTGTGCAGACCAAGCACATGTTCTATATGTTCAATTGTAAATAATTAAATATCCCATAAGACTTCTTTTTAAGACTGCAGTGTAACCTTCATTAATGAATCTTCAGGGGAAAATGCTCCTTTGTATGAAGTCAAGCACATACTAAAAGGGGAAAAGTAGCACGTTTTCATAAATCATAGGAGACAGAGCTCTTGGGTTTGCAGGTGCACAACACAAATACCAGGTGCAGTTTTTATTTGTCTCCGCCCAGTTGAAGATAAACAGGACTCACCTTAAGCAAAATTGAGAAGTTTGCCTTAGTTCTCCAGCCTCTCCATTCACCAACCCTTTTCTCTCACATTGATGACTGCACAATGGCCTCCTGTTCTCTTTACTGGTCTCCCTGTCATTAAACACTAACCAAATCTTTATCAGTTCTTTCAACCTGGCGACTGAGCAATTGCATTTTAATTGAACGTCATTTGCACTAAAATATATCAGGCAAAATGTTGCATGATTAGCTTTCTTCAATTTTTAAAATACTTTGTGAAAGACATTTTAAATATAATCAAGAGATTGGGGATGGGAGGTGGGAGGAAGAAATTGCAGAGCAGAGGGAGTACCATGAAATCTTACTAAGTCTCCTTGACTTAGCCTGAATCAAACTAGATTTGGGCTTTTAAGGATGAACTGGTAGGAAGTAGAGCTAAGAAAGAATCTGGCTGGGATGCCTGTCTCTCACTGGGAGATGGACGAGCTGAGAGTTTCATAGGTTTGTTTCTAGGTTTTAATGAGCTTAGGGTAGCCTGTGTAAAGGAAGATGCTCCAAATTACCATCACCTGTTGAGGAAATAGTACATTAAAAGTTTTCATAAAAAGCCATTTTCTTTCTTTCCTGTGGGGAAAAAAAAATAGCGATCTTCTATTCTTCACAAATCTATTGCTTAGAAGCCAATTAATGTTGTTTTGAGAGGCTCACTATCCCAGCAGTGCTTGAGTAACCAGGTGCTGAAGTTGCTGATGTTTAAAACAGCTCTAGAGAACAGGGCATGAGAAACACATGGACGAAAGTATCTGCAGCTTGAGACTGTCACACACTTCTCAGAAGTAAGTGCATGTTTCCACTAGTGTGTGTGAAAACCTATTCAAGTTGAGCATTTTTTTTCTTTTCATGTGTCCATCCAGCAAATACTTATTGAGCATCTACATGGCAAACATTATTCTATATACTTGGAGACACAGGAGTGAACAGGCAGAGTTCTACTCTCACCAAGTTTCACATAGGAGAGACAGACATTGAACAAATAAACAAGTATAGAAGTTAATAAACAGAATATAATACCAGGCAATAATAAGTAATATAAAGAAGTTCCTCCTCCTGTAATGACTGGACATCTATAGAAAGAAAGTTTCTATTATTTATGATTTTTCTTTTCAAGGAATCTTAGTTCCTCTAAAGGCAAGAGATTCCTAATTGGTCTCCTGGCTTCTCCTCTTAAATCTTCTCAATCTGTCCTTCATCCAGTTGCCAAAGGATTTTCAGAACATAAACAAGATCATGCCTCCCCTGCTTGGCCTTTCCATGGCATCTTTTGCACTTATTATAGAATCCGGACTCTTCCAGTGCCTGGAATTTTCCAGTCTTTACCTACTTATGACCTTGTTCCGTTGCTTGCCTCTTTGCCCATATGTGTAGCCACATGGTTTTTCCTTTAGTTCTTAAGTATATACAAGTAACTTCCTCCCTGTACCACTTTCCATTCCTCTCTCCTTTTAATATGTACATTTTGCAACCCCTGATCACAGAGAGCTATCATAGCATCTATGACAGATTGTAAATATACATCAATTTGTTCCATGCTTGATTCCTCAGTCTTTTGCTGATTTCACTGGTCTGAAACTCAGTGAGGGCCTGGAATCAAAGCTATGCACCTAGAACGCACCTAGCCCAGCACTTGGCACATAGAATCTCTAGACAAATATTTGTTGAATGAATAATAAATTTAAACTAGAAATGCATTAGTGAATGAGCTCCAAATAACTTTCAAGAACTTGACCCACTTTAAAGAGGGTGTAAACTAAATTTTTTTTATATTTTATTTTTAAATTGAGAGTTATATACATATAATTATGGTGATACATACAAACCTACATACAAAACGATGCTTCAAAATATGTGGAATGGGTAAATCAAGCTAACTAACATACATGCTATACCTCACATACTTGGTGCATGCATGTACTTTTGAACACAGTCACTTTTGAATAAAATACATTGTTATTAACTATAGTTCAAGTCAAGTATTCTATTAAAAATTCTTCAGCAGTTCAGAAGAATTCTTTTACCAGAATGTGGGTGAGACATTTTAATGGAATTTGTTTAACTACATTATAATAGTAATGCTGTTAATAAAGAATACTTTAAAAGAATGCATTTCTTATAAAGAAATCAAGAGTAGAAATAACATAGGGTATGTAAGTACACTCAGACATGAAGAAATACAGTATTAAGGATTGTAAAATGGTAGTACAAAAAGTGTCCAGTCACCTAGAAACAAAACCAAACAAAAAGGTGAAAAAAGTGTATCTAGTGAGCTTCACATAGAGGAAAAAAGGATGGAAAAAGTTAAGGAAAATGAGGAATGGGAGCAGCCAGACTCTTCAGAGACAGGAGACCAGGAATCTGATCTAGAAGACAGTGTTGAAGAATGATCAAAGCCAGCTTGTCGCTTGTTATATCATAGAAAGGTAAAGGAGGTTGGAATTTGGATTACATTTATCAAGAAACACCAACAGCATTTGCTGGTGAAATATACGAGGGGTCTTCAAAAGGTTCCTGGAAAATGTGTATTACAGAAAGATGAATGGATTTCAACATTTTTTGCACCAAAATAAACTCATACTTTAATTATATTTTTCCATGTACTTTATGAAGTCCTTTCATATGGTTTGAGGAAGAAGCTTAATTGAAGAGAATGAAATTTTCTTTTAAATTTAAAACTATATGGCCAACCCCATAGCACAGCAGTTAAGCCCTATACATAAAAAGCCAGATCCCACATGTCTAACAAGTATTTGAATCCTGACTCTGCTGGCTTGAAAACCAAGTCCATTTGTGTGTGTGCTGAAAATACTACCAAGATGGAGAAATGGTAGAAATGGTATTGCAGTATGTCAATACCTTATTGGGAGTGCTTTCTTTCTCTGTTTCTTTCTCTCTGGCTAGTGCACATATCCTCTGGCAATAAAAGAAATAGAGATATACTGTCATATTTTTCATGTAAGTCACACACAAGAAATTATACATGAATTAAATTCTCAAATCTACATTTTTAACTAAGAACTAGATGGTTGCATTTTTTTTTTCAAATAAATCTTGGTCACTGCTAACAGTTTCATCAAATTTGAATTTCTGGATTCCCAGACATAGGTTGTAGTAGTTTCATAACCAGAGATATTGGTAACTTCTAATAGGTGAACTTCAGAGGAGGCCAGAAGCTGTTTCCTTATTTGGGGGGAAACTAGACATTCTGAGATTTGTAAAGCTTACAAATTAAAATGACTTTTTACTCCAGAATATGATTGGCAACTTCTCCTTTGACAAATCATTTATTATATTAAAGCTGTTACTGACAGAATTCATTTCCAGAGCCTCTTCCATAAAAGCAGCATTATTTATAACTGCCAACTCTTATTTGTTGAGTGCCTACTTTCAGGATTGTATTAAGTGCTTTACAAGGTTTATATTATGTAATATTTATAGCAATGCTTACGATGAGATAGATTTTTCTCACTATTTTGTAGATAAAGAGACCAAGACCTAAGAATAGTTAGATAAGTTACCAAGGTCTCATGGTGAAAAATGTGTAGATTATCTGATTTCAAAACCTCTCTTGCTAATCGCTGTATTATTAAGATACCTTTGCCTACATAGTTAATCTTACTCAAGGGCAGGGTTCAGTAAATATCTGCTGAATAGATCAAGTATTAAGGGAAACTTTAATAGCCGTCAGTAAAACCTGCTTGAGAAGGTAAGAAAACAGGTAGAAAATCTGTCTTTCTGTCTGATTCTCTTTACAACTAGGCTGAGAACTTCCCATTGTAGTAAGTATTAATTAGATTTTTCTCTTACCCAGTGTAATCACTCACTTATTCTAACCTTTTACAAAACTTTAATAGTAAAAAAATAAAAAATAAATTCTTTCTTCTTTCTCCTGTATCTGAAAGCAAAAGATGAACACCTAGTTTCAGATATGAAATCCCTTTTCCTAAATCCCATTATATCTGGAGAAGGGAATGCTTAATCTTTTTGTATCTAATAACTGAGTTCATGAATTAGTGATATTTATAGACTAATACCAGATCTAGTCTCATTATGAGTTCATGTTCCAGACTTGTCTGAGATCTGTTTTGTAAGGTAATTGTCACACCTTTTTTCCCCTCCTGTTTAGCTCACAAGAAGCTGTTGGGGATAAGGCACATGGAGATCCTTTTTAAAAACACATTGTCAATACCAAGTTGTATGACCAAATTATAATATTTTGGTAATAATATTATGATATTCATGTCAGGCTCTAAAGTTTTTAATCCTTTCTACAATATTATATATACATGCACAATTTTAAAGTCTATAGATAATAG